ACCTCTGCCGTTTCCAGCCACTGGCTTAGTTTGCAAGTTCTGTTAATGTAGTAGGCACTTCAGACTTGTACTTGGAAATAAAATTCTCTTGTATTTCGATTAGTTTCCTGTGGCACTACCATTGCAAAATCAGTCTAAAAGGGTGGATTTAAAAAAAAAAAAAAAAAAAAAAAAAACCCGATTTTCAGTGATCTGGGCGTTATCACACAAGGGCATCGCTTCTGGCCCTGTCACTGCAGAGTGAACACGAGGCTCTTTATTAACCAGCAGGAGCCATGTCTGGATATTCAGTGCTCGGGTTTGTTCAGTACCAAGTGTATTAACCAACTTTATTTATTTGCTTTAATGAGAGGTGACTCGCTTGGACTTGGATTTTTTTTTTTTTTTTTAGTGTGTTTTCTGTACGGTTTGACGTACTAATTACCGCTTTGAGTGGGCCTCGGTGCCGCAGGGCGCATGCGCGGGCTGCGCGCCCCTCCCGCCGCGCGGGGGCGCTGCCGCACGGCGCCCCTTCCYTCCCCCGCGCGCTCCTGGCGGCTCTCGCGAGATCTCGGCGGCCCTTGGCGGAGCGGAAGTGAGGGGCGCTCTCTTTCCGGGTGAGCGGCGCGGCGGCAGCAGCGGGGTAAGCGCGGCCGGCSGGGGGGATCCGCCGCCATCCGCCGCCATCCCGGCCCGCGATGGGTCCCGCGGGGCGCCGCGATGCGGGGCGGAGGCCGCGGCAGCGCACGGCGGCCGGGGGAGCGGAGCGGAGCCGCGAGCGGAGCGCGGCGCTGCGCTGCCGGGCCCGGCGCTACCGAGGCTGCCCTCGGCTCGGTGTGCGCGGCCCCGCGCGCTTCTGAGGGTCCCCCCGCGTCTTGCTTCTTGCAGCCACCATGAAGTTCAACCCGTTCGTGACGTCGGACCGCAGCAAGAACCGCAAGCGCCACTTCAACGCGCCCTCGCACATCCGGCGGAAAATTATGTCTTCGCCGCTCTCCAAGGAGCTGCGGCAGAAGTACAACGTGCGCTCCATGCCCATCCGCAAGGACGATGAAGTCCAGGTAGCCGCTGCTCCCGCCTCTTACATCGCACCGCTGCTCTTGAACGTTCAGTTATAGTTTGTCTGTCATTCGTGTGTAGGTTGTGCAAAAGAAAAGGGCTAGACCAATTCAGATCGATGGTAGAGCCCTTCTGGGTGCCCTGCAGAAGCTGTGCAAGTTAATGTCATAACACTGACCTGTTGAAATTACAGAATGGGGAGAGACATTTCTAGGGACAGAAATGTACCAGCAGTTGAAATACTTGAATTGCATCCCTTCGTTACTAGGCTGGATTAAAGGCTTTCGGTAGAAAACACAAACCAAGGAATTGTTTCTTTCACTTCTATAGACTCAGAGCATTTTGCTGCCCACAGTCTGTGGAAAGATCAGTGTAGAAATAAACTGGAGTTTAGCAACATTTTCAATGCTAAATGTGATGATAGATGATTTGCAGGGATGCAGAACTGCTGAGGTTGACTATTTTCTTCTGGATTGAAAAGATTTGCTGTTAGTTGCTGACAAAATAAGGGTTAAGTGTAATTCCCTCCCACTCTGTTTTAGTGTTTACTGACACAGTCCTGAAATTGATGTTTTATAACATGTATGTGCAAAGAACAGAAGTGGAGTTTTGGTCTGTGTAGGCCTGGTTTTCTGTTGTAATAATTCTGTTTCTTAAATAACTGAGTTGAGGAAGATTATTGACATGTGAGAAATTGTAACTTTTATGCTCTTGTTTAGGTTGTCCGGGGACATTACAAGGGACAGCAGATTGGCAAGGTGGTCCAGGTGTACAGAAAAAAATACGTCATCTATATTGAGCGTGTTCAGCGTGAGAAGGCTAATGGCACAACTGTCCATGTGGGAATCCACCCCAGCAAGGTACACACATAAAATGAGATCTGAAATGCGTGATGAGACCTTGTTTTGGGGCGGGGGGGGAAGTATTTCTACTCGCTAAAGTTGGGTCTTKTTATAGCACACAGGGTAATAGGTTGAGATGCTGTTGTATTGTTGTGGGAGATTAATAAACTAGGGTTATGGTTTCATGAGAGCAARGCAGTCACAGCTTAAACTGGAGCTCAGGTATTTTTGAAGATTGTTTGCTGGAGAAACTGCTAGAGAGTGGACTTTGGGGCCTGCCTAAAATCTTCTTTAGGAGAACTTAGTGTTTTTGACTCACCGATGTTTTGCACTTTATTGTTGTTTTGGGAGCAGGTGGTTCAACCCTAGTTCGTTGATACACTGCATTGMTGTTGATTAAGGAGGTGTTTGAAATGTTTAAGTAGATGCACAGAAACATAGTTTGATATTGCGAGTTATAAAATTTTGACTGGATCTGGTTATAGCCTGAAGTGATTTGCAGTGTTTAGTGATAACCAGGCAGAGTCTGTTTGGTTCATAATAGGCAAATATTGCAGACTGAACAGAGCAAGTAGCCAAGAGCCTAGTTTGAAGCGGATGAAATTAGTCTGCTTCAGCAATGCAAACAGRCTGGTGTGCTAAAGTGCTGGTGGAAGAAGACAAGTTTCAGCAGGTTTTCTGATAACAATGGTTGATGTGTGGTGCAGAGGGAGAGCAAAATTATTCCAAAACAGCATAACGACTTGTGTCTAGTAATAACACTTGAGGTGCAAGGTGACATTGTGGGGGAACTAGTGCACAGAGGATCAGGTACARCTTGCTTGGTAAATAGCAGTGGAAGAAACTGAAATTCCCGCTTGTTTCTGAATGAGTTGTTACTGACTGGAAGGGAGACCTTGAGAAAGTTCTGCARGAAGATAATATTAGCACACAGAAAACAGAGGAGTGATAGTTTGTTATAATGTATATTTTTGTTTATATACATTTATATATAAAAATGTAGTTTGCAGTGTGATAGAAGAACATTTTCTACCTGTCTTAAGTAAAGAGGTAGGAATTAATTGTGATGTCCTGTGTCTTGAAAGTTGGTGAGAGCTGACCAGGCTTATGTAGCTGTACTGCAGCCTATGTGGATTTTCTGATCTAGTTGTATTTTTAAATTACAYCTTGCAGCAATACCAAAGTATTTGCTTATTTGCTAATTGTGGGAGCAAGAAGAGAAAAAAAAATCTTAAAATTGGAGCTTTGATGTCCTGCTCACTTGCTGGGAAGTACCTTGAAGGCTCTTACAGCAACTGGTTTAGGCACACGATGATAGATGTGCCCATGTTAGTGTCCTCAGTAATTGCTTGGACACTTTATAACAGTTTAATAGCAAACATGTTCTTGAAAACACATTTTACAGGCCAGAGTAGTGCTTGCAGTTTTGCTGTGACTTAAATGAATTGGCTATACCAAATAGTAGAGCAATGATGTGTTAGTGGCCGGCACCAGTATGATTTTTCAGCGTTTGATGATGGAGGTAACTGTTTAAAACATGGGCAAGTTAAACCAGTGGTCTGATTCTTGGCTTTGTGGAACAAGACTAAGCTACGTGCTGTGTTTCAGGTGGAAGTAGTGTATTTCATGTCTGAGCAGGGCCTCATATAATGGCAAATAGAGTACTTCAATTTAATTATTTTATTAATAGATGGCAAATTGACTTCTGCTTGTCCCAGCATTGTTGCGGTTCACATAGGTATCTCTTCTGGCCCTGAGTATATCTGTAGAAATTTGTATAGCTCAGTCTCGTGAAATGGGTAGGCAGTTCAGTCCCTCAGTTGTACTAGAATCAAAGCGTCTGTGGAAATAAAACCGGGGTGTTCTGGCAGTCTGTGTGTCATCTTCATAGGCAATATTTTACAGTCACAAGTTGTTTCGGGTTGTTGCACTGTAACACTGAAGACTTAAATTCTTTGTCCTTTCTCTAGGTGGTGATCACTAGGCTAAAACTGGACAAAGATCGCAAAAAGATCTTGGAGCGTAAAGCAAAATCCCGCCAGGTTGGCAAGGAGAAGGGCAAATACAAGGAAGAAACAATTGAAAAGATGCAAGAATAGATGGTCTCCTGCTTGACACCATTAAAGAACTGATAAAATGAAACCTCTTGTTTTGTCCTCTCCTTTAGAAAATCTTGATACAGTATCTCTTGGTTGGTGTTTAAATGTTCATTATCATATTTTGATGTTGGCTGTGTCAATGTTACCGCTAAATTAAAAAGCTTTTTATTTTATTTTTTTAATTTAAAGGAAATTAAGGAGTGTTTTTTCCGAATAGCAGTGTATTTAGAACCATATTTAGAGAAGCTGCTACAGTCCTGAAGATGACATACACCTGAGGGCAAGTGTATTTTGGTGTCCTTTCCAGTAATCTTTAACTTACACATCTTCAGAAATTCATGTTTTTAAATGAAGATGATTCATTCCATGCTCCATATATGTTTAATATAGATCATCAGACTTCTGAAATAAGGTGGCAAATCTTTGTTTCGGAATAAATTGTAGGATTTTTTTCCACATATGTCATTCATGTAGATGCAAACAATGATATTTTGTGCGTATTTCCACTGACTTTGCTGTGTAGTGCCCAAGCCTCTTGCACTAGTGCTAGTTAACTAACGTTAGGACAGCAGGGCTATTGGAGGGGGGCTGTCTGGTTTTGAAAAGGGTAGGAGTGGAGGGAGCCCCGGGCCTGCTGCTCGCTCTGGTTTGGCTGTAAGCTCTCCTGTAGCAGGATGAATAACGGCAGCCTGTCCTGCAGGGAAGCAGCCCTGCAGTTGCGGGAATTGCGGGGCTGAGGGAGCGCTGTCCCGGGGCTCGGTCCGTGCTGGCGCCGCGGGCTCCGCAGGGCCCCGCGCGGGGGCGCTGCCGTGCGGGGCCGCCCTGCGCAGCGGGGGCGGGGCCGCACCGTGTGGGCGGGGCTAGCGCTGCGGCCGCGTGCGCGTCACGCGGCGTGGGGCGGAGCCGCTCGCGCGGCCCAGCGCTGCGGCAACGTCGCGGGCGCTGATTGGCGGGCGCTGGCCGGTGGGCGGGGCGCTGCGGCGGCCGTGAGGAAGCGGCGCGGGGGGGGCCGCCGTGTCGCACCGAGCCGCCTGCCGCCTCCTCGCCGAGCCCGGCCATGGCGTACGGTGGCCTCACGGTGCCCATCCTCGTCATGAGCGTTTTCTGGGGGGTGGTCGGCGGCGTCCTGCCGTGGCTCGTGCCCAAGGGGCCCAACCGCGGGTGAGTGACCGGGCGCGGGGCGCGGCGGGGCCCGCCCGGCTCCGCGGCGGCCGAGCGGGGCGGCCTCGGCGCGGCCTTGCGGCTCCCGCCGGCCCGGGCCCCCCTGCGCGGCCCGCGGCTCCCCGGGGCCCGCAGGCCGCTCCTGCCTCCTCCGCGGCCTGAGCGGAGCTAATGGAGCCACTTGTACCGGGCGCGYCGGGGAGGGCTCTTGTGGGGCGGGAAGATGAGGAGTTAAGGGATCTCTCCCGGGGGTTTTACTTGTTTTAGTTAAGGTAAACATGCAGGTTTTGGTTTATAATCAAACAAGAAAAAAAATCATTTTGTTGACAAGCTCCTTCCACTGCACAGATCCCTCGTTGCTAGAGAACCTAATTGCCTGTCATTCCATTTAATAAATACTTCCTTTATTGCTGCAGTTCTACGTTTTCAATTTGAAGAGCTAAGTATTAGRATTATACCTGCGTACCCAGCCCTGGTAGTTCACTAACTTGCAGATAGCAGGTTGGTAAAATGCAGAGAGGATGTTCGTTACATAAGGTTTTTACTCAGCTGGAATAAGCTGAAACACTCATCTTGAGTCACCTTGCACATGACTGAAGTGGAACATGTTCTGGGAATTTTTTTCTGTGTACCTTGTGGTCAATCATAACATGACATCTGATCGCCTGTCTCTTCTTGCAGTGTTATCAACACAATGCTGGTGACATGTGCTGTTTGTTGCTACTTGTTGTAAGTATAAATATAATCTCTACCTGTTAATTAAGGTATAGCCAGTTTTGTTGTAATCAGAAGCTCTTTTTTTTCTATATTCTCGAGACACGTAGGAGGAAGCTTTTCAGATGTGTCAGAGATTTAGAAACATAATGTTCTTTGACAACCCTTGATTTTTGCTTTTAGAAAAAGCCTTTAACCCACCGTAGAAGATGCTCTTTACAGTGGATAGTGCATTTGGGTAGAACCTCAATTCTTCTGAAATATATTCCTGAATACTACTCTGTATTGGCCTTCCATTATTACGTTCCAATTAATAGCTGATTCAAGCACAAAAATGATTYGTTGATTCCAAAATTTTGCTGATTCACAGTCACACAATGACTTTTTTTTTCTTGTTAATTCTTTACACCTTTACACTTGTTTCTAGGGTAATACTAGTTTAAGGCTCCCCATGGCCTCTGCTTTCTCAGTTTGAGCCTTTCCAATGCAATTTTAAAATCTGCCAGAGTAGATGTTTTATGTAAGATACATGTATAGGTACTGATAATATCCGTGACAGACTCATGATTCTTTGCCATAGTAAGGCTGTTTAGATGTGCACAATATGCTTTGATGCTGCCTTTATTAGGAGAATTAGTAGGAAAAAAAAAAAGCCTTGTTGAGTCATTTCTCATACAGTGTGTTTTTATGAAGAGGTGAGCCAGATCTTGCTGGAATCTGCACCAGAAATCAAACTTATTTCTTTAGATTTTTTTTTCCTGTCTTCTGAGGGGGAAAAAAAATGGGGGCTGATATTATCAAAGTGCTGTTCAGAAATAACATTAAAGGAAAGGTATTTGAAATGATTTTGTTGTGAGGAGTAAATTGATAAAAGTCTAGGTAGAGCTTTTGTGGTAAATCATCAAATCATCTTTTTTGGGGGGGTAAAATTATCATCCAGATTTCTGCTTAAATGCAGAATACAGCAGATATTAGCAGATGCCTAAAACATCAATGGAAATCCTGAATTTTTAGGATTTTGTTCATACCACTTCAAGGAGCTTAATATGAATGCTTAGGGAGATATACTTCAAATATTGAGACATTTTTAGGAACTGTCAGCTAAAGAACAGGTTTCTAGTGTTGTCCTGTTTCAGGAAAAGCCTCTGTGGTTCCTGCTTGGGTTGGCCTGTGGCACAGGTTTATACAGGTTTGATTCAGTTTAATAATGTGATATCTGGACTCTATAAACCTTGAGACATACTTCTAGTTTAGGGTGTTTGACACATGAAGTCTTGAAATGATCCTCTGGATAACTGCATAGCAAACACTCTTTTTTGTTTGTTTGTTTGTTTGTTTGTTTGTTTGTTTTGTTTTTTTGTTTTGTTTAACTTCTTAGATATAAAAGATATTTTAAAAAAATCTTAAATGTGAATTTGGGATTGAAATGCAGGAATTCAGTGGTCTGAAGGCCTTCCCCTCCTTCCACCGCAAACAAACTAGGTAGCAGCTCAAACCCATGCTATGTTTCAAATGATTGCCTAGTAGAGGTCCACTGGGTGCCCAATTACCCTAAGTTACTGCATTTAGGTAACATTAGGGAATGTGTTGGCAGTGGAGGAATGTTCAGTTTAAACGAATTCTTTTTATTAAGTAATTCTTATTACTTAACAGGGCTTAAAAGAGCTCTAATGTTCCAATATACTTTAAGCTTAGGGARTTTTTTTAATAATGTTTGACAATGAATAGTTTCCTTGACATCAAGGCCACGTAGCATCTTCAGAATTCTCTGGATTAAAATATGGAGTCTATTTATTACAGAATTCCTRAAGTTTTAATTAGTGCTTTGAACTCTTCAAGTGCATAGTGGGATTTTACCTGTGAATTGCAATCTGTGTACTGAAACAAATCTATTACAATTCTAGTGGCCAGTAACATGGTTTATATTTTTTTTGCATGACCGGTGAGTAGATTTCTCTCATTCTTAATCACATGGACTGTAGCTCATTTTCRTTATTGCCTTTGGCTTGTCCAGTTACGTGTTGAATAAATAGAGGAAGCAGACTCTTACAGTCTTGAGCATCGAGAATTATATTGAAGTACATAAATTATATGTATAGATTTTTCTTTCTAGAATACAACAAAGAGCAGGTTTTTCTCCAGTATTCAAAGACAGAACCCGCCTCATAATGCAGTGATTACATCTCTGAAGCCCCAAATCATGGATTCTGGGGGCTTCTTTGGTGGATGCATCGTTAGGGTTAAAATAACCCGTTTTGTTGTCACGGGGGCAGTCCTAGCACTCGTGTATCCTTGGTAGTATCCTTGGTAGTAGCTGGTGCTGCCCATGCAGCTCCCTGCAGAGTTCTGCAGAACTCTGGCAGTTGGACTGACTTKTGTGCTTTCTGCGTCAGCCTTCTGGTGGAAACAAAACAAAAAATCCCATTTTTATTAAAAACTCGGTTGTGAAATCAGTTTGCAGCAAACTGGGTTTATGCCAATTAATTAAAATATAACTAGTCAGTGCCATTTGAACTTAAGTCAATTTCTTCTGCATTTAAATTTTGAATAACCATACTGATTASGTGATGTTAATTTGGTTGTTCTGTGGTAATTTTTGCATAGGGAAATGCATCATTTTTTGCATAAATATTGTAAGAGAAGCCTTTTAAAGACRATTCTGGAGCCTTGGGAAGGGACCAGGCTAGAAGGCAGTGAGTGTTTGTGAGGTTATGGCTTCTACTGAAATTCTAGGTTGTCTCRTTTTTGTAAGCTACCGTCAAAATCTAAATTTATTTTGCTGTTTACAAAGCAGATCATGAAACATTAACATGTTATTCTTAACGGAAAACAGGATGCTTGAAAAGTTGTGTAATTTGCCACTAATTCTAAATGAATTAAAATATAGTTGCCCAGATTGACATTTAAACAGATATCAGGACTTTAATTTGCAACATGCAGCTTAGAGACAGATGGCAGTTATGGCAGAAAGACCTTTTAAAATCTTCCTGGTAGAACATAAGGGACTTTAATTTCCTTGCGTGAGCTGGATAATTAACACTAACTATTGCAACTGGTATCCGGGAGAATATAAGGATCCGTGGGTGGCTTGAATGCCAAACCTGATTTTAGCAGCGCTGCAGAATTCTCCCTGGGATGTAGAGGCTTTGTTTTCTTTGTGTCCCACATGGTTTCACGTTTTCGTGATGGATTATTGGGCAAAGCGGCACGACTTAAGCAAAACGTGCGGGAGAAGCTTTTTCATGAYTTATCTCGAGGGCCAGGGAGTCGCGGAGTTCAGCACCTAACGACAGCTTTACTTATTRGGCCTGAGCGGGGCAGGAGGTGCTGTTGGCTCCACGCTGCCGCAGCTCCAACATCGGGCATCCAGCGTGGTCCCCACCAAGAGCTTTTGGAAGCACTTGGGCTGAGCCCGGCGCTTGCAGCTCGGGATTTCAGGCCTGCTTTGCTTCTACCTTACGTAAATTTAACATAAAGATCATCATACGATTTCAAATTACTTTGTCYTCGCTTTAGATAGCAGGGATAGCGGGGAGTGACTGGGTTCATTTGTTGGTGCACACCAAATTTTGGAGTTCAGGGCTTGTGTGGTTGGTAGATTGAAATGGGAGGAACTTGGTTCGAGCAGAGTCCAACCTTGAGCAAAACTGAAAGTAGGCTGGAAMGTAGTATTTGTAAATTTAAAGAGGATTGATTGACCTTGTTAAGTCTGACCCACATCTTCTGCCTATACCGTCATAGYCTTTGTTCAGTTGACCTGCACCACGTTTGCTGGTCAGAGCCTCTGGGTTCATGTGGAATTTTCCATGACTGTCTAAGCACTCTGATGTATTTGTGGCAGCTCCCATTACAAAGCTGCTCTGCTTTTCCTCCTCCTTACAAAGCATTCTGGAAATAGCAGGCGGATAAGCCAGTGTGTTCACTAAATTATGTCTATTTCGTTAGCATTTTTACATAGATTTAAATTCATGGAAGCACCCATGTCATTCTTCCGACTCTTGTAACAGTGGAATATTTATTTCTGTTTAGCTTTCCTGATGCTTTCCACAAACTACGTTCCTSTTGTTCTGCTGTGGCTTCTGCAGGGTTAGTTTGTCAGCTGCTCGGATGAGCAGACCGATGATGATGATGATGATGGTCTCGGGTTTGTTGTCGTATCAATGTTGTTGTTGTTTAGTGCCGTTTTGCTTCACACCCCTGTTTCTCTGACCTCTGTTTCAGGTTTAAACCTGCTTTTGTTCAAGCTCTTATGAAAATTATGCCAGGTCTGCAAGGAGAGGCTATATCAGACACTGAAAATGACAGCAAATAAGAGACACTGTCTTGGGAAGTTTTCCTTTGTTTAAAGGATATTTCATCGGCATTAAGGACCTTCTCATTGATGTTTCTTCTGAAACCACAATTACCTGAGTTTCATATGTTTCAAAAACACATCCCTTCCAATGGAAAAAGTGCAGAAAAAAATACCAGGTGTTTCTCACAGTGCTAGTTTGAATCGAGGACAAATTGTGATTCCAGCTGAGAATGATGAAGTAGCAGAGCTTCCCTGCTGGTTTGCAGTCCTTGTGTGTGAGCTTGAGCAAGAGTTTGATTTGATAGTAGAACGTCCTGGATATGCTCCTTTCCGTTTCAATAGTTCCTGTGTTCTAGACAGGCTTTCCCTGTGTGATAAACTGTGATTTGGCTGATTCTCTCTCTCTGGGGTTGTCTTGCAGTTGGCTGATTGCGATTCTGGCTCAACTCAACCCTCTCTTTGGGCCGCAGTTAAGCAATGAAACAATCTGGTATCTTAAAGCTCATTGGCCTTAAAGATGTCTGTCCTCTACTGCAATTTTAGGTGAGTATAATCTGATTTATAAATATATTTGGTATGTTAAGGGTTCAGGAGAGCTTAAGCTGTCATGTAAATAGGAGAAATTTGAAAGGTTTGGAAATTAAAGCTATCGGTCACAGCAAAGAAACGATTTCCGAGTGTCTGATTGCATACCATGAAGATTTGGACTGAGTAGTTGTAGAGTTAGTTCCATCTGTTGTCATGTGCTACCATGTTTCAGTAACTAGATGTTTGCAAAGAAAAAAAGAGCTGCTTCTTCCTACTTGGGATATAGGGAATTTGATTTTTCTTTTTTTTCTCTTCATTCAACAGCTAGCGTAAGTGGGTATTCTAATCTACTTGTTGAGCCTCTTTTTTTCCAGCCTTACAATATCTTATTCAAGAGTTGTCAAGATGTCCAAGGCAATGTATGTTGCCTTCATTCATCTGGGAAATGAGCGTAAGCACTAGAGTGATACTTGATCTCCTGTCAGTGTATAGCATTAATACCTAACTTATATTTCTTTTTTAAATAATAGTCTTTGTGTAACTTCAACAACTATCAGGGTCAACTGTGCTTATCTGGCTCGTGCTACTAGCATACTGGTGTTGCTGGGCTTTAGGCAGCCTTTTAACACGACCAGCAAAAATGAAAAATCCGCGCTAGGAGCAGCGTGATGGCTTGAGGGTTCTGGGCAAGGGCTGAATTTGGAGCTGTGGGTTCAAAGGAAGGGGTAGATGTGCGAAACACTGAGATTTTTGCCTCTTTTCTGGCTTTTGGCTTAAATCATGTTACCTCTTTATCACCCCTTACTCTCATTACTACAAGATAGGACTGATTTCTGACAAATGAACTATACGCTGCCACTAGCATGAACAAACTGTAGATGAGAGGTGGCTCTTGCTCTCTAGGAAGCTGCTAAAAGAATCAGAGAAGGGATTTCTGAAGGACTTGTAGTAGGTTTGAACTGAAGATGAGAGGGAACCGATGTTTTCTAGGATGCCCAGGAATTTTATGTGAGGTGATGTTTAATGGATAATTCAAGTTGTATATAGCACACATCATTGTTATACGAAACAATTTGTTTTAATCTTTGATCTGAGAAAGGTGGGTTTTTTTTTTTTTTTTTTTAAGACTAAATATCATGGTCGGATATTGTGTTCTTTCTTATCGTGCTGTTGTCTTGTTGTTAGAGTGCATAAGATTCTGCACTGCCTTGTTGGAAGAAGTCTTGCAGTGCTGAGTGAGCCTCGCTGCAGGAAGCTGCCTACCCGAAGGAGGCTCCTGTGCTGCCCTCCTACCCCGAGAGCCTCCGCTGAGTTCYCTGCTAGACGTGGGCTCTGAGTTAGGGTGCACCTCCCAGAGTCAGCATCTCCAGCCTTGCACAGAAATACAGCTCCTGTTCCTTGTTTGCCTGAGTACTTTCTCCTTTTAAGACATGATTTTCCAGAATTCAAGGTTTTCCTCCGATTTCTCTTTTAATTGAGGTTTAGGTGGATTGCCATAGACTGAATGCAAAGGGTTACAGAATGAAATACTCCCGGAGCTGCAAGATACTATTTTAAAATGAAGACAGTCTGAGCAAACTGAGGTTACTTTAACAGTGGAACAGGCTGAAAATGCACCCAGATGGTTATTGCATTTTAGTTGACAGGAGAGGAGCTTCTGCAGGTGCTGGCTTGATTAATCTATGCACAGTTAGAAATGTTTGGCCTTTCTGCTTGGTTACTGATTGGTGTTCCTCTAATTCAAATAATGATAACTTGTCTATATAATCAGTTAGTGCCTTGGAGAGCAGTATGGATGTACACAGACATCCTGGTTCTCAGAACATGGACATTTCTGTAGCTGTGGAAAATAGGGGTCGTAACATCTTTTAAGCAATGGGATCTAACTTCAGAAATTACTCTTAAAGGTCCATATAGATGAATTCTCTACAGTTCTTCAACACTTCTCATTGTATTTTTGGAATGGAAATAGTTGTGGTTAAAACAAGTGTTTAACTAATAATTTTTGTCCATGGAAAGGAATAATTAAACTGCCTCTTGCTTTGCAGGTAAAGAAGAGGTTTCTTCCAGATGAAAAACTCCACTGACCCAAAGATGCCCTTATCATAGCTGGTTGGATACCAAGCTGCTTTAATGCCTTAATGTTTATATTGTGCTTCAGAATGGCTTGTTTAAAGCCCTATATTTTTTTCCTATTTTCCTACTATAACATTTAACACTGTGCTTAATAGAGTTTATAACTCCTTTTCTGTATTTTTTTGTCTATTAATGAACTGTCAGTGAGAAGGAAATTTTTGAAATCTTTATGGATACGTGRAGTCATCTTTGTTCACTTTGCACAGCCTGTGCACAGTACTGTAGATCTCAGAGATCCTGGGTTGTCTGTTGCTGGGCTGTTATACCTCTGTTCTGTTTGACTATGCTTGGAAAAAAATGTGTGCAATGAAACTGTGCAAGGAGGAGAAACAATGCTGCCACGTTTTGATGGCATTTGTTTTTTAAAAGGAGATGTATCCTTGGGAAACTTAGCCTTAAATTTCACCTATTTGGAAATAAAACTAATCCTCTACTTCATAAAAAAAATGTTCTTGTGCCACATGTAACAGTTTCGATGGGCTGTTCTATGGTTTTAATGAAACAGTAGTTAGCCAGGGCTGAGCGGAAGAATCTTAACTGGTGCAGATGAACTGTGATAGAGCAGCGGTGTCATGAGATGAGAGCAGCTGCTGCCCATGCCGAGATCTCTCAGGTGGTTCTAGAATAGCAGCAGCCTTGCTGGAAGGGCYGTGGGTGGAGGCGAGAGCTGAACTGGAGAATCTCTTCTCCTGTGACTATCTGAGAGGAGGGGGCAGCGCAGATGATGCGGCTAGTTTGAAAGAGGCATAAATAGTGATGCGGAAAGATGGATTTACCACCCAGCTGCTTTGAAGGGTACAGATAGTAAGAGGCARTTTCATCGGAAAACATTGACTATTTTATACTGTCTGATGCTTCATGGAGACACGGAGTATAAACATAACACGGTGTAGGCAGAGATGAAAACTAGCCGAGGCTCCTCAGTATCCGCGGAGTTTCTAGGAGCAGGAATCTAGAAGCAGTTGGGGAAAAAGAAGTAATTGTTTAAGGAATAACTCGAAGGTTATTCCTTACATGAAGCCTGGGTAAGGAATACACATGAATCGTGTATATTTTCTTACCTTGTTAAATTATGACCACATAAACCACAATTATTTCTCTAGAACTGCATACCTGTGCCTTATTGTTATGCACGGAGCTCTAAAGGAGCAGTGCATTTTCCCGTTTCCCTGTCGGACAGTGTTGCTAACTCATTCAGTGGGATAGTATTTGGCGCTGCTGGGGAAGCTTAGCTCTTGAAAAAAGCTAAAACTTGCAGTAGTCAAAAAAGGATAGTGTGAACTGCAGAAGGAATAAGAATACTTCYGCTACTGTAAATAAGGATGAGTGTTCAGACTGGAAATTCAGATTTTTTTTCCAAGTTTTCTACTACTGACAGCAGCATTTTCACATATAGAAACTTGTACAGCATAGTACATAGTACTGTGTGTGGCAAATGATACACACAAAAAGGCAATTCACATAAACTTCTATAAAGTTTTTTAAACGGGTACAGGGACAAGGTAAGTTATCCCTCGCATAATATGAGGAGGAGAAATGCTTCTTGTATCCTTGGGAATAGTAACTGTGCAACTGTTTTTAAAATTAGGTTAACAAGATAGATGATCTAAACTGGAAAGGAAACAGGAAAAGAAAATATCCAGTGCCAGAGAAATTGCTACAAGTTTATTGGATATGAGATTTTCTAACAAGGTTTCTCTTCTGAGTTGTGAGTTATTGCTCATTGTAGAAGATACAGGAGAAATAAAGCCGAGATCGAAGGACGTGTTTCACCTGGGCTGAACTTGATGCGAACAGGTATTGAGAGCCCAGCCAAACACGCCACAGGCACATGCAYTTTTGTGCTCTCCAGATCAAGGGGTTTGTCTTTATCTGAATGCTTAATATTTTCTCTGAAACAGATGCCAGGTAATAAAATAACTGGAGAGGATGAAGGATAATAATRTTTTGTTTCAGTTTTGCTGAATGCTGCGTGAGAGACTGTCTGCATCACGACTATGGAATGAGTTGCTACACAAGAGCCAGGAATTAGCACTGCTCCGAGCTGTGGGTTATTTTATTATCATGATTATTGTTATTATTTTGTATGATGGCAGGAGCTAGGAGCAGACAGATTCAGTCGCGGGGGCCTAACAGACATGCAGGTGCTGGACCTTTAGCAGCGTCTCTTGCTTTGTGGCAACAGAACCAGCAGAGGTTTCGGACATGGCTCCAGAGGTTCCAGATTGAAGGAGGGCCTGGGAGTGAAGGGCCCGGTGCCCTCCGTCCGTGGTGGTTGGAGTTCTGTGTTCCACATGGAACTGGGGAAGGTGAGGGAACTCTCTCCGCACGGTAAGTTTTTGAAGAC